GTCCCCAAGGTCCCTGTCCCTAAGGTCCCCAAAATCCCTGAGGTCCTTGTCCCTGAGAACCCCGCGCTCCCTGTCCCCAGGGTCCCCATCCCCAAGTCCCCAAGGTCCCCGAGATCCCCAAGGTCCCCGTCCCTGAGGTCCCCAAGGCCGAGGTCCCCAAGGTCCCTGAGGTCCCTGTCCCCGAGATCCCCGAGGTCCCTGTCCCCAAGGTCCCTGTCCCCAAGGTCCCTGTCCCCAAGGTCCCCATCCCTGAGGTCCTTGTCCCTGAGATCCCCGTGGTCCCTGTCCCCAAGGTCCCCGAGGTCCCCGTCCCTGAAGTCCCCAAGGTCCCTGTCCCCAAGGTCCCTGTCCCTAAGGTCCCCAAAATCCCTGAGGTCCTTGTCCCTGAGAACCCCGCGCTCCCTGTCCCCAGGGTCCCCATCCCCAAGTCCCCAAGGTCCCCGAGATCCCCAAGGTCCCCATCCCTGAGGTCCCCAAGGTCCCTGAGGTCCTTGTCCCTGAGATCCCCGAGGTCCCTGTCCCCAAGGTCCCTGTCCCCAAGGTCCCTGTCCCCAAGGTCCCCATCCCTGAGGTCCTTGTCCCTGAGATCCCCGTGGTCCCTGTCCCCAAGGTCCCCGAGGTCCCCGTCCCTGAAGTCCCCAAGGTCCCTGTCCCCAAGGTCCCTGTCCCTAAGGTCCCCAAAATCCCTGAGGTCCTTGTCCCTGAGAACCCCGCGCTCCCTGTCCCCAGGGTCCCCATCCCCAAGTCCCCAAGGTCCCCGAGATCCCCAAGGTCCCCATCCCTGAGGTCCCCAAGGTCCCTGAGGTCCTTGTCCCTGAGATCCCCGAGGTCCCTGTCCCCAAGGTCCCTGTCCCCAAGGTCCCTGTCCCCAAGGTCCCCATCCCTGAGGTCCTTGTCCCTGAGATCCCCGTGGTCCCTGTCCCCAAGGTCCCCGAGGTCCCCGTCCCTGAAGTCCCCAAGGTCCCTGTCCCCAAGGTCCCTGTCCCTAAGGTCCCCAAAATCCCTGAGGTCCTTGTCCCTGAGAACCCCGCGCTCCCTGTCCCCAGGGTCCCCATCCCCAAGTCCCCAAGGTCCCCGAGATCCCCAAGGTCCCCATCCCTGAGGTCCCCAAGGTCCCTGAGGTCCTTGTCCCTGAGATCCCCGAGGTCCCTGTCCCCAAGGTCCCTGTCCCCAAGGTCCCTGTCCCCAAGGTCCCCATCCCTGAGGTCCTTGTCCCTGAGATCCCCGTGGTCCCTGTCCCCAAGGTCCCCGAGGTCCCCGTCCCTGAAGTCCCCAAGGTCCCTGTCCCCAAGGTCCCTGTCCCTAAGGTCCCCAAAATCCCTGAGGTCCTTGTCCCTGAGAACCCCGCGCTCCCTGTCCCCAGGGTCCCCATCCCCAAGTCCCCAAGGTCCCCGAGATCCCCAAGGTCCCCATCCCTGAGGTCCCCAAGGTCCCTGAGGTCCTTGTCCCTGAGATCCCCGAGGTCCCTGTCCCCAAGGTCCCTGTCCCCAAGGTCCCTGTCCCCAAGGTCCCCATCCCTGAGGTCCTTGTCCCTGAGATCCCCGTGGTCCCTGTCCCCAAGGTCCCCGAGGTCCCCGTCCCTGAAGTCCCCAAGGTCCCTGTCCCCAAGGTCCCTGTCCCTAAGGTCCCCAAAATCCCTGAGGTCCTTGTCCCTGAGAACCCGGGGGACGGGCTGGAGCCACGGCAGGGGGCGGGGCTGGGTAAGCCCCTCCCCACCGCGAGGAGGCCCCGCCCACGCGCTATGGACGTGCTGTGACGCGCCGCTGACGTCACGCTGTACCGTGGGGACACCCCTGTCCCTGACACGATGGGGACCAGGACCATGGACCAATGTACCGGGGACCAAGACCACCAGGGGCGGGTGCAGCACGGGGACACCCTTGTCCCCAACACGACGGGGGGGACAACCAGGACCAATATGGGCCAAAGTACCATGGGGACAGCCCTGTCCCCACCAGAACGGGGACCAGGACCATTGTGGGCCAATGTACCATGGGGACAGGCCATCCCCACTGCAATGGGGACCAGGACCATTGTGGGCCAATGCACCATGGGGACACCCCTGTCCCCACCACGATGGGGACCAGGGCCATTGCGGGCCAATGTACCATGGGGACACCCCATCCCCACTGCAATGGGGATCAGGGCCATTGCGGGCCAATGTACCATGGGGACAACCCTGTCCCCACCACGATGGGGTCCAGGAGGACCAGGATCCCAAGAGGGTCAGCCCAGTCCCCACTGCAATGGGGACCAGGACCATTGTGGGCCAATGCAACATGGGGACAGCCCTGTCCCCACCATGATGGGGACCAGGAACACCAGGACCCAATGCACCATGGGGACACCCCATCCCCACCACGATGGGGACCAGGAGGACTAGGATCCCAGGGGGTCACTCCCATCCCCATTGCCATGGGCACCAGGAGCATCAGGATCCAATGCACCATGGGGACACCCGTGTCCCCACCATGATGGGCACCAGGACCCAATGCACCACGGGGACACCCCGTCCCCACTGCAATGGGCACCAGGACCCCGGAGGCGGCTGCGCCCT